ATAGTAGTTCAATAAAATTTTGAATGCAAGTCAACAAACGAGATGACATGGCCTTTCACCTATGACCCATCTCGAAAGGTCAAATATAACACCCACCCAGATAGAAAATTTATTGTGATTTATATATTACAAGACCTGGATAATGAATCTTGGGCTCATACAGTATTGTTTGCTGTGTATCATATGAAAACTATACTATTCTGAATTACAATGAAAGTCTCATATCATTTTTCACTAGGTCTTCGAATTCTGACAAGAAAGAAGTGTGAAGCTCAATACATTTTTAGATTCACTAATTGTGACTGATTTAAGTTACTTTAGGGGAATTCCACGTCTTAAAAGTAGCCCCCTGGACATGGACAAATAAAAAAATATAACTAGGGCTTGTGGTGGCAAACTGCAGTTTATGTTCATGGTGTTTGTATTGTTATCTTCTCATGTTAAATTACCTATATAACACTAATGTTTCAAATGTATTCTTCTTAAGTGTATGTAAGACAATACAGTAAAGCACAGTTATTACTGCAAAGAGTAACAGATTTCAAAGTTAAATGTTTTGTTCTACTTGATAAAATTCAGCAATATTTCCAGTGTCATGGAATATTAATTAATTCCGTAGGATTTTTTCTCTTTGTATAAATGGCATTCACTGTTTACTAATCATTGCTGTAATAAAATGAATTACTGATAAATTCCACTTCCTTAACAATACTTAATAATAATAAAGTAAAACAAAAGTATAACTGTTTACTTCAGGCCAGTTGCCTCCCAACATCTGGTAGTTCAGAATTAAGGATGGCACCACACTACCAGGACTGCACACTATCAGTGTGTTTTGAACTGGAGGGATATCTTGTGCTATACCCCCTCTGGCATGTAAATAAATAGTATAGAAATGTGATATTCATTCATTTCCCAGTAACTGAGTAGGATCCGCAAGAGACAGAAAATGTATTATGGAGTTAAACTCAGTTATCTTGATTTTGACTGAGTTGTGAGAAACAGAGAGATTGGACACGATGTAAAACGCAGTGAAAATAATTTAATTAATACACAAAAACAATCAAAATAAAGAGTACAAAAGACAGTGCCTTTACTGAAGGTTTAGAGATAGTTATATGCATTATAACTCACCTGATTGAAGGGAAGCCAGAATTTTGTAAGCAACACTATCCTTAAAAATCTTGGATAAATGAGTTAAATTCTTGTAAACTTTATCTATATCTTTTGAAGAATCTGTTGAAAAATACAATAAGTAAGTCTATGCAATGTTACTAAGGTACAACATCCAAAGTTAAAGTCACTTAATAAGCCTATATAAAACGAATGATAAAAGTTTTGAAAAATAAATAAGTTTTAGTGAAAGAAAACGGAATGTATCATTAAAATGCGTAGCATTTAGGGCATTTTAGAAAAGTAAAAACATACTCAAAAATTAAATATGCTATTAAGATATTTAATTTTCCATAGCTCATTCCCCAAAATTAAAGAAGTGTAGAAACACACCACTTTAAAAATTATCATGTTACAATGGATACTTTCTGGCCAATGTACTATAAATAAATAAATAAAATAAAAATTTTTTACAAAGCTAAAATTTGAATGTTATTTCTGAGACAATAAAGAAGTTTTCTGTTCCTACTATGAATCTGTGATCAGAAATATATTTCTGATCACAGATTGGATAAAAATTACTGAATGTTTTCAACACTGGATAGCCAATGGTTCATTATTGTTTCAGCCTCCATATTTTTCTTTGTTTTTATACCTTTCACAGTAACTTGGTCAAATTCAAGTGCTCATATGTTTGCAGTCATACATAACTGTCCAAATAAACCAGTAACTGCAAATAATAATTTTATATCTGGGACCTCAATTATTTATAGTAGTTGAAAGTGTTGTTTAAGAGTTGAGAAATGTCATTTACCCCACAGAAAATACCATGTTCATAGAATTCACTAGATTGAAATTTTTACATGAGATTTAAGATAATGGTCATTCACCCAATTAAAGTTGTAATGGATGTCTGGTTACTAGTCTAAGAAACTTCACTAATGTAGAACCGTAATAACACTAATAAAAGTTTTTAGTAAAGATCACAAGCAATATAATTACACAATCCTCAGTAGGCATTACGTATGTCTAATAAACAGTTATAAATCAGTTACCAAGTATCCAGTTATTGAACTAAAGAATAAGCAAAATACACTCAGTATCTGGTTAACACACTATATGTTACATTTTTACACACTGTGTTAAAACAAATCACTAGCTACGGTATTACCCGAGATGCAAGACACTTGTTATTCATCATATAAAGCACTTTGCTAGAACATTTCACTAGCTACAATATTACCCGAGATGTAAAACACTTGTTATTCATCATATGAAGTACTTTGCTGGAACATTTCACTAGCTACAGTATTACCCGAGATGCAAGACACTTGTTATTCATCATATAAAGCACTTTGCTAGAACATTTCACTAGCTACAATATTACCCAAGATGTAAAACACTTGATAATCACCACATAAAGCACTTTGCTAGAACAATTCACTAGCTACAGTATTACCTGAGATGCAAGACACTTGATATTCACCATTTTAAGCACTTTGCTAGAACAATTCACTAACTACAGTATTACCCGAGATGCAAGACACTTGTTATTCATCAGTAAATTGTTTTGGCATAGTGTTTTATATGTATGACAGCGTTACCCAAAATGTGAGATACTGATCTCTCACAACAAACAAATCATTATGCCTGAATAATTCACTAGATGAGTGCTACCTGCCCTAAAGAAAATGAAGTACCTGTATATCAAATGTTACATCATGATGACCAGGTTGTATGGGACTGTATTTAAGCTGTAATTATGCTGTAAGCATTGGACAACTACGTAAACTTTCATTCAAGTTAAAAGAAAATAGAGCCTATTAAGACAGTTCATTGTACATGTTCCTGTATTAATTAAAATACAAGTATAAAACATTACAGGTAGTGTATTGATACCAGTGCTTGTACCTTACATGTTACAAGTGCATATACCTATTAATTATTACCTTCAGCAGAGCAACAGGTAGATTTATTGTTCCTATAGTAACTGAAAACAGGTATAAAACATGACAGGTACCGAGCACATACATGAACTTGCCCCTTACACGTTGCAAGTACAAAAGTAATATATCCATATAAAGCAGGATTTGTTCTTAAGCTCACCAGACAGGTTTCCTTGATAACTGGAGATTCTCTCAAGATATCGATTACAGAGTAACACTAAAACTCCAACTGATTGGATCAATGTTAAATAAAATAAATTAATCACAAAGGAAAACACAAGACAAACATTCTTTATTGTGTAAAGAAACACAAACACAGTCTGCTTAGATGTTTTAAACTGATTCTTCCTTCAGGTAACTCGGATGAAATCTTGCATTAGACCATTTAACTCTCTCGCTACTAAGTTCGTCAAATCAACTAACCTTTAACCATTTGTGCTCATTATAGTTTCCATACTATAACTTTTAATACACCTTGTGTATCTTCACAAAATTTGGCAGACTTTTAGTAAACGTTACAAGTCTTTCATACACAAACAGATTTCTTAATGAAGGATTTTTACTCAAGATCTATTAATATATAGAGCATTTCTATACACTAGTCCAAGTGCTAAATATTTTCCTTCATCTCAAAAATATCAAATTTTATTTGCATTATCTCTGAAACCTCCTAAATAAATTTTAAACTTTTTTTTTATATTTTATCTGTTATTTTCCCTACCCTAACTTTATACAAGGTCAGTCAAATCGACCAACCTTGTAACTACCCAAAAAAATATATAAAAAATTCAAATCTAAATTACCCTTTTTTTCCTTCCTAGAATAACTTCAAATTGTAATATGAAACTACATTTGTTTATCCTAAATAGCTTTACATTCATAACAGCATACATCTATATATACTTAAATTTTATTGTTTTATTGCCCTTTGAACCCTGTCTAACTACTATTCACATCATTATAAGTTGTAAATCACTTGGTGGACATGTAGTTCATGTTACACTATCAAATCACATTATGCACAAGCTACTCATGAGCTGCTAGCAAGCACATCTTGTGAAAACATTATTATATTATTATTTATTTCACCTAATCTAACCTTAATTAACATAAAAAGTTTCCTATTTTTACATTTTAGTTACTTTTATAATAATAAATAAAGAATACACATGAAAAACAAGAAAAACGAACTTACCTGGGTCTTACCTAATGGTAGCACTGAACTAAATAACTTTTTATTTAATTAAATAATGCATCAAAGAACACAGAATAATAATGTGAAAAAAACAGACAATGTACCATAACTATCACAACTTTTCTAGCTTCCTAGCTATGCGATAAGAGCCATTAAAACTTCATTTAAGCTCATCGATGCGTTTCCCATGGGAATCAAGCTTCAACTGAAAGTAAAATTGACAATTCTCTATATTACATGAAAAACAATGTAATATAATACCTCAATTGATACATGAAAACCGTGGCTTTCTATTGGTTATATATAAAATAGTATTGACCATTGGTAATTTCTGAAAGAGAGAATGTGATATGTGGTTTGATTATCTATTTCATGGCTCTATAACCAAATAAATTTAAAAGCTATGAAAATTGTTTTGCCTGAGTGATGATGATATTATAATGAGTAATTTACATTAAATTTTATACTACTTGGAGAAGTGATAAATAAATTAGAGAAAAGGGGATGGCTAGAGGAAAAAATTTTTACATTCTCACACTAGAGGAGATTCTAGATTTTTTATATTGCCTTACAAAAGTAAGAACTCAAAACTTATATGTATGGATTATTAGCTATGTTTATTGGTATACCATGAAAACAAATTTTGAATGTAACTCACCAAAACCTTGTGACATGCACAAAAAAATGATGTCTGTGAAGAAAGGATTAACCATGATGTTAATATTACACTCAAAAAATGGTTGGTCGCTTCATACATGAGATACCTTAAATTCATGTATGTTCTGAATTGGTAAAAAGATAACAACAAGCATTATAATTTACTCAGTATAAAAAAAATTAATCTCTTAAAGTATTTTGTCTAATACTTGGGTTTTGTGAAAAATATGTAACAAACAATGGCTCATAACATTTAAAGGATACTGTTGTTAACCAAAATCTCACTAGTTTTAAGTGAGCAAAGTGATTAAATGCACATTGTGTTTAAGAGTACAAAACAAACTTTTGAGTTTCTGCTTTTGTTTCTAAGCTCTGTGAAAGGAATGTTGAAAGAAATATTTTTTGCTTTGTGTTTCAATCTGAAGCAATGTACGTGTTAAGGCATATGTTATCCAATATTAATGATCTGTTACACATGCACTACACAGGAAAATATGCACAAAAGATGAACACAGTACTGTTGACCCGATAACCATCAGCTACTAACTTTCTGAGTAGCCAATGCAAGTCGTGCTATATTTCATTCCAATGATAAAACTAGTGGATGAAACTGTTTGAAACTTCATAAGAACTTTCATAAATGCGCGTAGTTTAAGAAACATAAAGCTCGTTACTTTGATAAATTTTTTTTTGCATTGTGATTTTTAATATCTTGGAAAAGTACATTAGGAAATTATAAAAATATAATAAATGATTACGATATTTGTATTTGTTCCAGATTTGAACTTAT